ACAGGTGACCCACCACAATTACAGGACATTTTGAGAGATGCTCATAGTCTCACTTAAAAAATTGTTATTTTTATTTTATGTATGAATTTGTTGCCTGCATGTATGTAAGTATACCCGTGTCATGCCATGCCTGTGGAGGTCAGAAGAGGGCATCAGATCCCCTGGAACTGTAGTTACAGATGGTTGTTAGCTGCCATGTGGGTGCTGGGATCTGAACCCAGGTCCTCTGTAAGAGCAGCCATCCCTGAGCCATCTCTCCAGCCCCTAGGAACACTTAAAAAGAAAACTTTTTTTATAGCCACGCAGCAAGATAGCTTAGCAGGTAAAGGTACTGGCCACACAAGCCTGAAGACCTAAGTTTGATCCCTGCAACCCATGTAAAGGCAGAAGGAGAAAACCAACTCCATAAAGTTGTCCTCTGACCTCCACGTGTGTGCCATGGCTTACTTGCCCACACTCATGTGGACACACAATAATAATAATAATAATAATAATAATAATAATCTTTTTTGTGCCAGGTGGTGGCGCATGCCTTTAATCTCAGCACTCAGGAGGCAGAGGGTAGCAGATCTCTATGAGTTCTAGGCCAGCCTGATCTACATAGCAAGTTCCAGGCCAGTTGGGGCTACAGTGAGACTCTGACTCAAAAAGACAAAAAAACAAACAAACCAGAAAATAGAAAACTTTTTTGTGTGTAGTGCTAGGGATGAAACCAGAGCCTTTAGTACACTAGGTAAGTGTTTCACCACTGAACTTCATCCCTAGTCCCCAAGGGAACACTATTTTGTACCCATTTCACAGAGTAGGAATAGAGACACAGGGAGGTTAAGGAACACATTTGTGGTCCCACAGTCTGGCACAGGTGAGGTTAGAACGCCACCTGGCCTGGAGCTTACCTTCTAGTTGGGGGAAGCAGACAGTAAATGCATTTTACAGATGCACAGATACAAAACAAAGAGATCAGAGAAGTGGAGGGGCCTCACCATATGATACAGCTGATGAGACTATGAGGAACTGTAACCAGAGAATATCATGGCCAGACTCACCTTTGAAAGAATCTCCAAGCTGGATGTGGTGACATACCCACCATCCCAACACTTGGGAGGCTAAGGCTGGATTCTGAGGGTTGGAGGCTAGCCTGGGTCACAGAGAAAGACTTTCAAAAAACAAAACCCAAGGCTGAGGATGTAGCTCAGAAGCCCTACGTTCCGCCCCCAGAACTACATAAACTGGGTATGGTGGCACACATTTGTAATCCCAGCAGTCTTTAGGTGGAGGCCAGAGAACCAGAAATTCAAGGTCATTGTTGGGTAAATAGTAAGTAGAAGACCAGTGTGGGCTACAGGGGACCTTATTTTTTAAAAAAATGAGCCAGAGAGATGGCTCAGCAATTAAGAGCTGTACTGTTCTTCCTGACAACCTGAGTTTAGTTCCCAGCACCCATGTCTGGTGGCTCATAATCCTCTGAAACTCCAGTTCCAGGGGATCTGACACTTCTGGCCTCCAAGGGCAACTGCACTCACACGCTAATACCTACACACCAATGTACACACATAATTAAAAATAATAAAAGACATTTTTAAAATAAAAAGATAAGTCAGGTGTAGTGGTGCACCCTTTCTAATCCCAGCACTTGGGAGGCAGAGGCAGGCAGATCTCTCTGATTGGAGGCCAGCCTACATAGTG